GCTGGCTGCTGGCCACACACGCTGGCTGCTGGCCACACACGGTAGCCCATGGCAACCCACTGCCACAGAGGCTGCAGCCCAGCTCCAGGTTGAGCTGTTGTTCAGCATCTTAGCTGTGGAGGGCAGTGTCACTGGCCCTCACATGTGGGATCCGAACAGGGGCCCTCTGGCATCCCAAGCGAGTTCTCAACCATCGCGCCACTCGGCCGGCCCGGAGACAAAATTCTTAATTGCCTCTACAGGTACCCAGAAGTCACCGGGAAAATGAATCTTCAAGTGAATCTCAGCATCTCATTTTGCTTCTAGAGCTGAAACCACCCTTGTATTAGGTGACCACTCGCCACCAGAATTCTCTTTTCTGGGGACAGAGTCTGATCTTAACATGCTTTAATCTATTGTCCCTCCCCATCTCTATAAGATTCATTTTGCCCTGCCCTTATCTATCTATCTGCCTGTCTTCCTTAATTAAGGAAAGATATTTTCTTTTTTTTTTTTTAAAAGCTTTTATTGGGGAATTGGGGGAGGGAACAGCATTGGGGAATCGGGGAAGGGAATTAGACAAGTTGCTGTCCTTTTGTTCTTCAGTCTAGTTGTGGAGGACATCGCTTCACTGGCCCATGTTGGTATTGTGATCACTGCGCTCTTCCCGGCTGAGGCAGATCGGTTGCCGGCCATTGGACGGCCACTCACGGCAGCTCTAGGAAGCTCACGACGGCTGCTGGCCACTCACGGTAGCTTATGGCAGCTCACTGCAACCCCACTGCAGCCTATGCCGTTGCCTCACAGCAGCCCAGCTCCAGGTCGAGCTGTTGTTCACCATCTTAGCTGTAGAGGGTGCAGCGTCACTAGCCCTCATGTGGGATCCGAACTGGGGCCCTGCTGCTTAGAGTTCGTGCTTCCAAGCCAACTCTTAACCAATGAGCCACTTGGCCGGCCCTGGAAAGATATTTTTTGTCTCTCCAAGTTTAACTTGTTCTTCAATGTTTAGCTTAAACTCTGTCCTCCCTGTGAAAGGTAGAATTCATAGTCAGATGTCTTGTGAAAGGCAGGCACTGTGCAGAGCTGTAGGGGTTCAGAGATGCACCATGAATAAAGGACAGAACCTGACATCAGGGAGCGCACAGTCTAGTAAGGTAGATAGATACTGAAAGAATTAGAGGACACTGGGTAAGTCCAACAGTGGGATTGTATGTAAACTCCAGAGGAGGCTTAGCAGAGGGACCTGCTAGCTGTGTATGTGGGATTAGAAAGGCTTGCTGGGGGAGATGACATCTGAGCCAGCATCACAGTCTGAGAAAGGGCCTCCTCCTCCATGAGCTCTCCCTGCCTTGAATTCCCATAGCACTTAGTCCTGGCTCCTCTATGGACACTCCCCTTCACTGCCTGGCACAGCTGGAACACCTGTCTCCAGCTAAACCAAGATGGAGATTTGCCTTCACGTTCCCCGTGGGCACAGGGCCTGATACCTACTATGGGCTCAATACATATTGGTTAAATGAATAGAATAAATGGATCCCAGAGTTTCTCTCTCCCCACTTTATCTGGAGTTTCCCTGAGCTAGCCTGAGGGATAAATTCCTTCCTAAGGCTTCAGAAAAGATCTTCAAGTCAGTGGAGTATCCCCCACTTCTTGTCCTGTGCTTTTTTGCTCCCTGCCTCCCCAGTGTCCCTTGCTGTCAAATGTGACCCACCAAGGCCTTCCTTTCAGAGAACTCCAGGCTCCAAAATCTCTCCCTGAATAAACTACCCTTATTGATTAAACTATGGTGTACAATAGCATACTGTGAAGCTGGGGGAATGGTTGGGAGATTTTCCAATGTACGCCTTTTTATGTAAGCTTGATTTTGGAACCATGTTTACCTATGTAAAAAAAAAAAAGAAAACCTAAATCTCACAATGAAGATGGTGAAAATTCACCCAAGAGTGTGAATGATAGGTAATTGAATTTTCAATTTGAACTGTAATAAATTATTTGTAAAACAAACACATGAATACTTCCCCATAGCATCTTTGGATCTTCATTTTATTTATTTATTTATTTATTTTTAAAAGATTTTATTAGGGAATTGGGGGAAGGGGAGCAGACAAGTTGCTGTTGTTTTGTTCTTCAGTCTAGTTGTGGAGGATGTTGCTTCACTGGCCCAAGTTGGCACCATCGTTGCGCTCTTCCCGGGCGAGGCAGATCAGTCACCCGCCATTGGACGGCCGCTCACGGCAGCTGCTGGCCGCTCATGCCAGCTGCTGGACACTAATGGTAGCTTATGGCAACCCACTGCAGCAGGGGCTGCAGCCTATGCCGTCGCCGGCGACCCATGGCAGCCCAGCTCCAGGCTGAGCTGTTGTTCAGCATCTTAGCTGTGGAGGGCAGTGTCACTGGCCCTCATATGTGGAATCCGAACCGGGGCCCTCTTGCCTCCCAAGTCAGCTCTTAACCACCGCGCCACTCAGCCGGCCCTGGATCTTCATTTTAGATCCTTTGCTCTTTTTTTTTCCCTAGAGAAGGAACTCTCGACCCCTAGGGCGGGCCAGAGGCTGGAGACTAGAAAGATAAGGACACGGGGTACTTGCAGCCCTTTCGACCAAACGTGTCTGTCTCATGGATTTCCTACCAAGTACAGGTTCTTTGATTCAAAGTCCTTCCACTTTGATGGTCTCTATTCCCAGCTTCCCTTGGGGAAGAATGGAGCTGGTATTAGGATTTTAGTTGGGAAACTGATTCAGACTTATATGTTCATGGTTAGTTGGCCTTGAAATTGGAGAACCCAGATTTCCAGAAGATTTCCAAACCATATTTCCACCCTACACCTCCCTCCTGGGTCCAGATTCTTTTATCTAACTACCTTCTAGATACTTCCACCAGGATGTCGCTCAGGCACCTCAACATGTTAAAAAAACAGCCTCATCCTCCTCCACCCAAACCTGGTGCTGTCAGCTTCCCAATCCCACTGAAGAGCATCACCATACACCCAGTTAACTAAACAGAAATGTGGGTTTCAGCCTTAATTATTCCATCTCCCTTACCATCCTGAATTATCTCCTTCCCCTGCTCTACACCAGCGAGTCCCTGCACTAAGCCTTCTTGCCAGTAGGTGGCATCTAAAGCCTGAAGGCTGAACTCGGTCTCTGCTCCCTCCTTTTCTGAGCTGTTTGGAGAGAGAATGCTCTTGGGGGGGAGGGGGCCTCTCGGCTCCCATGCTGCTCTTCCTCTGCTCTGTCTGGTGGCAGGAGTTGCCTGGATGCAATTTGGTTCAAGTGCATATGCTCCAACTAGAGCTAAAATTAGGTGGGGCACTAAAAGCTATTCAAATGGTTTTTGAAAAGCATGCATGTTCTTAAGCCTATTTCCCTTATCCTTTCTCTCTCTCCATAGCCTTCCTGCTTGTCCTGTGGCTGGTGCTGAGTTCAAGGTCAAGGAAGCCCAGCAGCCTGGGTGCCCTCTGAGTTTCTTTTCTTTCCAAAGACTAAGGGCTAGAACTGGACAGTTATTTTTATTTTTTTTAAAAGTAGAAAACAACAAAAGTAGAGAACGGTTGAGGGTTTGTGGGAGGAATTCAGGTACTGCTAGTATCACTTTAACATTGTCTGAGAGTTATTTTTAAATTAGCTTTTGGTGGTGGGCTGTTTCTTTGATCATGTCACTGCTTTCGGTCTGAACTTAGTGGGTGACAATCTCACAAAAATTACATTGAATTACACCAGTGTTGGGATGGGTAAGTGATCCTTGGGAGGCAAAGGAGGGGCTACCAGTCTTGTATGGAAGAGGATCAAGGGGGGCTTCTTGAGGGGACAGTTTGAGGGGTCTTGAAGGAGGAGAGGAAGGTTACTATCTAGGCAGAAGAAACAATTTTAATAAAGAGAGAGGGCCGGCCGAGTGGCGTATTGGTTAAGAACTGGCTTGGGACGCCAGAGGGCCCCGGGTCAGATCCCACATATGAAGGCCAGTGACATTGCCCTCTACAGCTAAGATGCTGAACAACAGCTCAACCTGGAGCTGGGCTGCCATGAGTCCCCGTCAACGGCATAGGCTGCAGCCCCTGTGGCAGTGGGTTGCCATGGGCTACCGTGAGTGGCCAGCAGCCGCCGTGAGCGGCCATCCAGAAGCCGGCGACTGATCTGCCTCGCCCGGGAAGAGCGCAATGATGGTGCCAACTTGGGCCAGTGAAGCAACGTCCTCCACAACTAGACTGAAGAACAAAACGACAGCAACTTGTCTGTTCCCCTTCCCCCAGTTCCCCAGTGCTGTTCCCATCCCCCCAATCCCTAATAAAATCTTAAAAAAAAATAAATAGAGAAGCGCTACTCAACCTTTTGTATTCCCAGTGCTTCTAGCCTACCCCCAGACTCTGCCTACTAAAATCCTCTTGGCCTATAATTCATAATGCCACCTTGCTCAAGGACTTCCTTGGGCAACCTTGGCCTCTTCTGGTTGACTGAGCTAGTAGCTCTCACCTGCACAATTACCCTATTGTGCCAAAGTATGGCCATCTGTCATCTTGAGCACCTGGACCTCTGCTTCCTCAGGCATTCCTAGGACCTAATGGAGTTCAGCTGGAATTCCACGTACCCGTGATAGGTGCCTTTGACCCTGGGTTTCAAGATGTTGTAAAATTCTTGCCCTCTCCTGCTATGCTCTGGCTTTCAGCTTCAGTAAACCCAGGCCCATCAGATCTCTTCTTGTAGGAGAATGAAAGTCTCATGAAGTCTGTGAAGTGAACTTCTCTTTTCAGTTGAAATTTTAAGACAATTTTAAGAACAGCTCACATTTTGCCGATGTCTCATCCCTGGGGCAATGAGAAAAGCAAAGGCTACACTTGGGTATAAGGAATACATACCCCAAGAAGGGAAAGAGTAGAAGACGAGGTAGGTGAGTGGCAAACTCCTTTGAGAGATAATCTAATCTGTTCTCAGAAAGGATGTTAGAGGTGAGGTTGTTAAGGTGCTCTGGAGAGAATGCTGGGGTTGGTACAGTCCTTGAGGAGCCATGGTGTGGACCCAGGCCTCTGCTCCTCTTTGCCTGGTAAGAACTATCAACTTCCAGGCCCTGCAGGAAGCACTGGGTTCTGGGTGTGGCATTACTTGGAGGTTCTGGAGGCTGCAGGAATTCTACAGGAAAGCTGAAGGAGAGGCTCTCAGACCTGGAAGAAACCTTAGAGCCCACTGAGCTCAACCCTGTCAGTCATTTTAAGCTGAGTAAACAGATGGGAAATGACCTGTTTGCTCAAGGCCACACTGAGTTAGGCGCAGCTATGGCTCTTCAAACTCAGGACCACCATAGCAGATGACTTCTCATATGCTCTACCACCCATCTTAGCTTCTAATGGGGGGGGGGATCAGTAATCAAGGACTGTCTACATTGGCCCAGGATGAAATGCTGTCCAAACTATGCTGGGACAATGCCCCCCGACCTACAAATGCCCTCACTTTTTGTTTGGGCCTAAAGTTGCCTTTCAAGAGGAAGAACCAGACTCTGGTAGACAGAAAACAGGTATGCTGCTCACAGGCTCTCAAACCCAGCAGAGACGTGAAATGAAAAGGGCCCCAGAGGATCCTAAAATAAAGGAGACAAGAGCCTTTGGGGGGTTTATTGCAAACTATTATAATTAAAGTGATATTTTACAAGTGTTTCTGACAGAGGGCAGGCAAGCTCTGAGCCAGGCCTCAGCTTCAAAAGCACACTCCTGGAGGGGAAATGGCACTGGCAGAGAATGTGCACTCAATCACTGCTGCTCATTAGGCCCTGAATTGCAGTGGAGTCTTCTTAGGGAGTTGAGAGCCGGTGGGCAGCTGCTTTAAATTCCAAATCTTGCTCCATTCCCACTGTGCGCATCACCGTCCTGAAGCAGGCCTCAGAGCCACCTGGGGGACCAACACAGGTCGGTTCCTCTGGCCCAGGCTTCCTGCCAGCTCAGGGTGGCCCAGTCACCCTCATTATCATTCATTACAGACTTCCTTTTGTCTGCCAGAGGTTTTCCCAACTTATAGCTTAAAAGCACCAGCTAGCAAAAGCAAGGAATGTTCTTGTTAATGTAAATCCATAGCAAAATTGACTCGAGAACTGGGTGTTTCCCAGGGTTGGCATCTGTGAATGTCCCCGTGCATTCTTCTTCCATACGGTGCTTGAATGGGTAGTGCTGTTGACGGTGCTCAAAGTCTGAGTTTTTAGGGCTTATTGATTTTTTTGAGAACCTATGGGGATAGTCACTGGGCAGAATCAGAGCCTGGCAGAACACTGGGACTGGGGGAGGGTGGAGAGCGGAAACTGGTTGAGTCCTGAGAGCATTTCCAGAAGGAAGGGAGCAGGGTTTCCAGAAGCAGCAGCAGGAAGGGCTGTTCCAAGGCTCTGCTCAAGGGGCCGGGGTGCTGGGGCGTAGGAGGCGGCCCCTCTTGCTGTTCTGCGTTACTGTTTGGGCAACGCAAAGTCCCAGGCGGCATCCTGCGCACATTTCCACATGGCCTGCATGAGGCGGGTGAAGCCCATGTCTTTGGGCTTCTCCAGGCCTCTCATCAGCCGCTGCTTCATGATGGAAACAAATTCCTTATTGCTCAGCTCCCCATTGCCTAGAGGAAGAGGCAAACACAAGGATAAGTGGGGGCCTTGGAACAAAGACACTGAGAAAATTCCATTGTTCACACAGTGTGGGTTCCGAAGCCCAGTGCTCTCTCGCAGCCAAATTCAATTCTCTTGGCTTGAAGTGAACTGGTTTTCTCCCTCCTTAATGTTTCTGACTGCATGCAGCTCAGCGACAGTTTAGTGCAGTGTGACCAAGTTAAAGGAGAATATGTCAGGTCCTGTGCTAGGTGTTGTGAATAAGGCGGTAAGTAAGACTTTGTTCCTTGAAATATTCCCAGGTTGTGGGAGAGACAACAGTGTGGTCAGTGCCATAATGGGGTAAACAGAGAATGCTATGGGGGCCCCGAGGAAGACTATCTAAACCAGGCTGGGGTGGTGCAAGTACAGAGCAGTAAAGGCTTTCTGGAGGTGACTCTTGAGTTGAATCCCAAAGGATGAACAGGAATTGGCCAAGTAAAGGGGAGTGAGATGGGGGAGGCATTCCAATAGTGGGAGCAGCATGAGCCAAGGCACAGGCAGGGAGCAGCACGGCTGATGGAGGACTCCAGTGGTCAGGTACCCCAACAAAGGTGGGGGCGTGGCAAGGACACTAAAGAGGCAAGCAGGAGATAGGTCCCCCAAGGATCTTGCATTTTTGTTGAAGGGTTTGCACTTTATCATCTAGGCATGGAGCACCAGGGAAGGACTGGCAGTAGGGGAGTAAGATGTAGTTAGATTTCCATTTTAGATAGATTTCTCTGGTTGGATATATGGGGATGGGCCTGGTGAGTGGCACGGCTGGGGTATGGAAGCCAGTTAGGAGACCTTTGCAATAGTCCAGGTGAGAAGTGATGAGGGCTTTTCATGGTGAAAAACAAAAGCACAATCTGGCTTTGTTAGCCCATTTTCTCATGGCTTCCCTTTCTACCCTCTTCAATGGCAGACTCACAGGTCTGGAAGAGAACTTGGAGAGCATCGGGTTTAACCAAAGCTCACCTCTCAAGTCACATGGCACAGTAACCACTCCATAGTAGAAGACGGGTACCCTTTCACTAGGTGCCCAGGAATAAATGTCTGCTGATTCAGAGAATGGCAGCCAATACCAGTGGTGATAAGGCAATGGGAAACCAGCAGACAGATCTCTCTACTAATGATGGGTCTGGGAAGAGAATGGAAAGAGCGAATACATGGTTTCCTTTTGTAGAGAGTATCTGAAAACCTAAACTGGCCCATGTTTTCTGGCTGAAGAGAGCAGCCTCAGATATCTCACAGCAAGATTAAACAAGCGAACGAAAACAGCTAAAACTAGTCCTTGGCACTAGAAGTCAGGCACGTGGCTGCCCTTGGGAGAGGTGACTGGGAGGCAGCCTGGAAGGGTGACTGGAGGGGTACTTCGTGGTCCAGGTAATGGGATGTTTCTGGATAATGGTGGTTACACAGATATGGTCGGTTTTTAACAAATTTATTAAGCTGTACAGCTATCATATTTGCACTTTTCAGTTCATTATACCTCAATATAGAAAGTTTAAAAGTAGCCTGGCTGGGGCTCCTTCCCTGTCGCTGGAGCAGCTTGTTGGCGGAGGCTTGGGTGCATTCGAGATTCGGCTCCACCCATAACCCACCGGCAGGGCCGAGGAAGGCATTGCTGCTGGAGGTGTCACAGATGTGAGTGCTGCTTTACAGGAGGTGCTGAACACTGCCCTCAGCCTCGACGGCCTGGCACGGGGCATTCGCGAAGCTGCCAAAGCCTCAGCCAAGCGCCCAGCCCATCTCTGTGTGCTCGCATCCAACTGTGATGAACCCACCTACGTCAAGTTGGTGGAGGGAGGCCCTGTGTGCTGCACATCAAATTGACCTAACTGAGGCTGCTGACAACAAGGAGCTAGGGGAAGGGGCGGGCCTCTGTAAAATGGATGGAGAGGGAAAACCCTGTGAAATGGTTGGTTCAGGTGTGTGGGGGTTAGGGCTCTGGCAAAGAGGCTCAGGCAAAGGATGCCATCGAGGAGTACTTCAAATGCAAAAAATGAACAATAAACTTGGCTTTTATTAAAAAAAAAAAAAGTAGCCTGGCTGGACTGAAAAGTCATCAGTCATATGGCTAATTAAGAATGTAAAATGTAAAAGAACAAAAATGTCTCTGTAAGATTCTTAATATTTTATATAAAAAAAGAAGCTTCAGATGACAAAAATCTGAAGTAATTTCACTCAAACTACCATGGCATTTGCTTCCTGCTTTGCAATGGCCTGGGCTGACCAGTCTGACTGGATTCTGTCACCTCTGAACCAGGTATATGAGTGAATGTCACTCGTGTGTGTGTATGATCCGTGAGGACAACTCTAAATTCTGTGAACAAGTCTGTCCGAAACTCGGAATTTTCTGTCCTCTGACATTTTGACCTCAGACCCTGCACTGATAGAAATAACAATGCTTTTAAATTTAATATATATACATACGTACTTCGTTTTTCCTGTAGATTAAGAAAATGAGTCCCAGGGATGTTAAATGATTTTCCAAGGTGATTCAAGTAGATATTGCTTTTAAAAGGTTGGAAAATCAAATATCATTTCCAGGCCTTCCCAGGAGAAGAGGGGAACTGTGAAGCTGGTTGCCGTTATTCCCACATTCACTTCACAGACCAGCTCTAGGATACTGGCTTCAAAAATTATAAAAATAAATGTGTTTTGGAAAAAACTCAAAGCACCTACATGTGATTAGAGTAAAATAAAAATCTGGGAACTGTTAATTTCTCTACAACAGTGCTGTTCATTAGAACTCTCTTTGATGGGGGAAATGTTTTTATCATAGCTACTGGCCACATGTGGCTGCTGAGCACTTGAAATGTGGCTAGGGAGACCGAGGAACTGAGTTTTAAAGTATATTTAACTTTAATTAATTTAAATGTAAATAGTCACATGTAACTAGTGGTATCATATTGGACAGGACAGCCTAGAGAATAAGCCACCCCTAACTGAGGGTGAGGCCAGCTCCTTGTCCGAGCCCTGGGACTTCCCTTGACTCAGGCCTCGGTTGTGGGTGCAGGTGGCAGATTTAAACAACTCAAGTTCAACTTAATAACTAAAATAAGTTAATGAACACCTTTTATGTGCAAAGTACCAGCCGAGGTCCTATGAGGGGAGGCAGGGTGTCCAAAGGTGGACACGACTTGTAATTGCCCTTAAAAAGCTTACAATTTAGTGGGGACGTTAGGCCACATACACAGAGATAAAGTGTAACATGTAGCAACGCAGACAAATTGAATGAACCAAGTTAAGCAATGAAATAACCAGTGATTCATTATGCTGGGGACAAAATGGAAGGGTTCACATAGGCAGAAGCTTTTGAGATGCTTCTTGAATCCCATTAGCCTTGCTTCCTGGAGGAAGAGGAACAACGAATGCTGGCTGTGAGACAGGCAATGGAGGTAATACAGTATAGAGGGAGGCAGCACAGCTTCGATGCACATCTTGGTTCTGCCATCTACGACTACCTTTGTGATCCTGGGAGAGTTACTTAACCTCTCTGAGTCTCAGCTTCCTTATCTGTAAAATGTGGCTAATCATTTCTATGTCAGAGGATTAAACGAGCAGCTTAGCACAGTGCCTGGCTCATAGTAAGCACTGAAAACAGTGTGAGCCTCCATTGTGAATATTAGCATTATGTCAGCCAACAGAGCTGAGAAATAATGGCACAGCGGACCAGGATCTCTGAGGTGGGCTAACACAAGGGTGGTGAGACACAACAGACTGCTGCGAGCTGGAATCCTAGAATGGAGTGTGAATGATTGAAATAGGCCTTGGCAGGCAGAGAGAGCACTACCAACCTTCTTCCTAGGGACATTCAAATACTCGAGTGCTCCTAATCTACTAAACAGCAAACTGGGTCCAATATTTTTGTTTCCATTTTTTTGAGTTTTTCTACTTAAGTTTATTCTTTATTTCACTTTTAAAACACTACTATAGTTGAACTGTTTCCATTTTTAAGATCCTTATGATCACATATTCATTTAGGCCTACAGGGAAATTTGAATTACTAGAAGAAATGGAAAACACAAGCCAGGACCAGGGGTTACATTTCTCAATGTCATGATGCTGTGGGCTGAGCTATAGATGTGAGAAAGGGGTAAGGTGAAGGGGTACAGGCTAGTGTACTGGAACTGTCTGGAGGGCTCCATTCTAAACAATGGCAGTACGGCTCTGTTCCCGCCTGACTCCAGGGGGCCTCACTCACCATCGCAGTCAAAGAGTGCAAACACCACATCACACACGTGGTCTGAGAGTTCCACTTTAGCCACTGTCCTGGCCACCTGCTGCATGGTCACTGAAAGAAGAAAGAAAGAAGGTAAATTTGCACAGCAGAGGGACTTTCATTTTGCTTTCTCTGAATGGGGGGATAAAAGAGTTTTATGAAAATTCATAACAAAAGAGTTTTCAACTGTATTTGAGTCATATTTAAAAAAAATGATAATTTAAATTTTAATCTATAACTCCCTTTCCTTTTCACCTCAGGTTCTATTCTTTTCTACTGTTGCTATACTTTAAGAGGTGTACATAGTTAAGTAAGAATGCCTGATATTAAGTTTATGGAGACAGAAAGTAGATTAGGGGTTACCAGGGGCTCGGGGGAGGGAGGAATGTGGAGTTGGTGGTAATGGGTAAAGATTTCTGTTTGGGGTGATGGAAAAGTTTTGGAAATAGATAATGGTGGTGGTTGTACAATATTGTGAATGTAATTAATGCCACTGACTTGTACACTTAAAAATGGTTTAAGGGCCGGCTGAGTGGTACATTGGTTAAGAACTGGCTTGGGATGCCAGAGGGCCTCGGTTCGGATCCCACATATGAGGGCCAGTGACACTGCCCTCCAAAGCTAAGATGCTGAACAACAGCTCAACTTGGAGCTGGGCTCCTGTGAGTCACCGGCGATGGCATAGGCTGCAGCCCCTGCTGCAGTGCGTTGCCATGGGCTACCATGTGTAGCCAGCAGCCGCAGTGAGCGGCTGTCCAGAAGCTGGCGACTGATCTGCCTCGACCAGGAAGAGCACAATGATGGTGCCAACTTGGGCCAGTGAAGCAACGTCCTCCACAACTAGACTGAAGAACAAAACGACAGCAACTTGTCTGTTCCCCTTCCCCCAATTCCCCAATAAAAATAATTTTAAAAAAATCTTAAAAAAAAAAAAGGTTTAAAATGGGGGCCGGCCGAGTGGCTCAGTTGGTTAAGAGCGCGAACTCTGAGCAACAGGGTCACCAGTCTGATTCCACATGGGCCAGTGAGCTGCGCCCGAGCTGAGCTGCCAACAGGTGGCAGGATGACTCAGCTGGTGAGAGCACATGCTCCTAGCAGCAAGGTTGCTGGTTCGACTCCCTCATGGTATGGTGGGCTGTGTCCCCCGCAACTAAGATTAAACACAGCACCTTGAGCTGAGCGGAGCTGCCGATGGGAAGCCAGATGGTGACTGGACTTGGAGCTGAGCTAGCTGTGCCCTCCACAACTAAGACTGAAGGACAACTTGGCTTTTCCTCTTCCCCAATTCCCTAACATTGTTCCCCTTCCCCAATCCACCCCCACCGAAAAAAAGAATCTAAAAGTAAAAAAGGTTTAAATGACATCTTTTATGTTATTTTACCACAATAAAAATTTAAAAAGTGAAGGGGTTTGGGGGGTGGTAGATGAAGGTAAAAGGGATCAAATATCTGGTGATGGAAGGAAAACTGACTTTGGGTGGTGACACACAAGGTGATATACAGATGATGTATTACAGAAATGTACACCTGAAACCTATGTAACTTTACTAACCATTGTCACCCCAATAAATTTAAATAAAAAAAAAGTGAAAATCCACATAGTATTTAAGGATGGGATTCTAACAGTCTAGAGCATACAGTGGTGGTTTTTCTAATAAATGATTACCAGAAGAATACCTTGAAAAAAAAAAAAAGAATGCCTGATATTACTGTAGTCCCCTTGTTGGCATTTCCCTCCCACTGGAAAGAACATGATAACAAAAAGTCAAGGAAATAACCAGGCAGCAAAAGGCACAGGAAGTGGGGACTAAGGAGGCTTGTCTCAGTTACTGATTGACAGCTCCTTGCCCCTCGTCCCTGCAAGTTTCCCACCAGCCACTGGTCCTTTCTAACTGTGTGCCTCTTGGGATAAGCAGTGGCCCCCATCTTGCTAATTCAGTATGCAGCCTTTTTTGTTTGTCTTTTCCTACACCTCAGCAGAAAATCTCTTCTCTCTTGCCATTTTCTCTTTCTCTGACATTTACTATTAAACACTAGCAATCATGTGAGAATTGGTTCTCATGAAAAACAAGCCAGGAAGGACTAGGCAATTTTCACTGCCTTTTCTCTGATTTATCCAGATCTAGCTACATTTATAAATTCTCTATATAATTATAAATTATGTTACTGTTTATAGACATAGTCTTAAGTGAGGTAAAACTCAGAGGAAAGAAAAGGACTAATTTCTATTTATCCAGAAGCAATGTGAACTTTAAACTAGAATCAGTGTGCCTTCTCTGCTTATTTTATTCCTACAGCTTCAGTTCCTTCTGTCACGTTTTTCTGCATTCGCCCTTTCACTTCACCTCTGTCACCTCCTTATATTCAGTGCCCCCAAGGTCGGCAGATACAAATGCCAGAGCAATGCAGAGGAGCAAGGTGAGGCAGTAGGAAAATTGGGAAGTCACAAGACCTGAGCTTTCGTCCTGGCTTCACCACCCACATTCTGTGTGAGTCTGACGGGGTCGCTTGATCTCTTTAGATTTAATTTTCTCATATTCAAGGGAGGGGATGTCACATGATAACTGCGGAGGTGGCTTAGCGGTGCAGAAAACAGTTTATTGGTGTTTCCTAGAATCTGAGGGTGGGTGGAGATAGACAGGAATAGCTGAGGATCTTGTCTGGCAAAGGGCAGAGGAGAAGTAGTGTTGGCCACAAGCTAGTTCGAAGCCTCTGGCTGGAGGGGGACGGTGCTGCTCAGAAGGGTGGGAAGAGCCAGTTTCCTCTTCCTGCAGCTTCGGTGGCTGTTCGCACTGCCATTTCTCTCAGGATGTGAGTTAGGATGAAGGAGGAATCAATGCCCCTTGGGACTAGAAGACTTAAGCAGAAAGATACTGTTGTGATGGGTGCTCCTGAGGTGTGGTTAACTGCTGGAGGGGGCACTGGGGAATCCACAAGGCGGCAGGAGTTCTAGGATTTAGAAACAGCCTCGGAGGTCTAAACACTCGGTTTTTCTCAGCTGGCCCAGGAAGAACTGATTCCTGGTAACTAAGTGGCAGGGGAGGAACAGAAATTAGAAAGCCGATTTACAGTGAGAATAGTAACTGTTTAGAGAACGAAAATGAAAACAGCTGGTTATTATTCTTCTCAGTTGGAAAATATACTAAGAAAACTCAATTCACCTCAGAAGGTTGTTCAGTGAAAAAAACAGAATCAGATCAGAGGAAACTGAACGCTCTCCAACTGTGATAGCCAACTGAATTACCCTTTGCGGCCCCAGAAATATGTCCTGAGAAGTGGATCAAAGCCAGTTCTGTATTAGATAAACATGAGTGCTTTTTGTTAACCATTCCTTTTTCTGCATTTCACATCAACCCCACACTTCTGTTGTAACTGATGACTACCCCCTTTTTCTCTTTCCCAGTTCTTCCATTATCTCAGGGCAAAGTGCCCACTGCCAATTCCTCTTGATATTCCAAGCGCCCATCCTTCTCCCCACGGAGGTGGGCCCTTTCTGCTAAATAAACCATTAACTAAAATAATATCCAAGGATGTCAGTGAGGGCTCTTGATCATTTTTAGTGATAAAGTGGTATTAACTGGCTGTGGAACAGGGACTTCTGGAGGCCACCAGCAGGACGGCCTCATTACCAATGCCATCTCTTGACAGTTATAAATTAAGTTCCATCTCATATGGAGGGCTCTGACGCCAGGTGTACTGTAGGAGGAAGAACCAGGGCTGCTAAGTCATTGCAACTCAAATCAAGGAAATGTTACCAGCCAGCAAGCAGCCTAGCGGGGATGCCCTTTCACAGTCCAAGATCTTCAGGCCCCCAGGGTGTGAATCAGAGCAAAAGAGGAAACAAACGTTTAACTAGATGGTGTGCTGTCAAGCTGGGAGTGCTTGGGACAAGTGGGATGACAGCAGGTCACAAGCCAAGTGCTTAACTTGGTCCTGAGAATTGGCTTATTCATATTTGCTTCCACATCCCTGAATCAATCACAAAGTCTTAATTAAACCACAGGAAGAAAAACAACCCACTCCCTCCCCCGCCCCCAATATTGACTTCCCCATGCAGACTAGTTATTGGTACTGGAATCTGGGCTTCCCCTATTTGATGCTGCTGATTGACTGATGGCTAGAATTCTAGTTTCTAATCTGAAAGATGTCCACATAGAGCATGACGTCACTCTGGAGAAGGCCTAGGTTTCCAAGGCCCATGTATTCCTTTTGTACAAATCTGGTCCAGCTGCCTGAACAATAGATGGATATGAGATTAGGTAATTTCTACTAGGTTGGGATAGGGAAGAGCTTTTAGACGTGGGCTCAAATGGTACTCAAAAATGTACCATCTGGTTTTTTGAAAAGTCCAGGCAGAACCTGAGTTGTGCCAGGTTCCCAATCTACTCGTTGGCATGGTCCATGACTGGACAATTCAACAGTGGAAAGAAACACGTGCTAGGCTTGTTTGACTGTAATGTCAGAAACTACATTACATAACCCACAATAGTCACACAGAATAAAGGAGAGTTCTAAAGTATAAGATCCCAAATATCCAATAGAATCAGAGAATTTGGAACTGGAAGAGACCTCAGAGGAAACGTGAAATCCAGAGAAATTAAATAACAAAGCTGGCTGGTAGCAGCTGGGTCTGGAATCTAGGTCTGCTGACGTCCAGCCCAGTGATCTTTTCCCCGTACACACCGGGTCCACTCGATCCCTTATGTGGACGATACTATTCCCCTTCATAAATCTGTCACCCTAAACAAGAGAAAGAGCTCAGATGAAAGAAAAGCCAAGTTGGGGGATGCTCAGTGCCCGTGGGCAGGGGTGAATAAGCGAACGGCCGGGGGTTGTGGGCAGCCAGCATTAAGGTTTGACCACAGATCTACACATTCCCTTGGAACTTACAGACAATTTCAGGGACAACTGAAAAGGTTTATTAAGCAGTAACCCAATGAAACGCCTATGAAATAATGGTGGTCCTGGGAGCTTTTCCCCACAGCCGCCTCTGATGCACAGATACAGCTACAGACAGCATGACCCAGTTAGGAGCTGCTGTTCTCCTAATGCAAAGGTGTTTGGAAAGGTGAT